AAACCCTGGGACTCTGAGCGTTTCTGCTAAAAGCACCGCAAGGAATTCCCATGGTGGATCAATTTGTTAAGCATAATCATGCTGACACAGACTTACTTTATACAGATTTATGGGTCAGCCAGAGGAAATCCGGGATAAGGAGGGGCTTTGTCAAACTGTTACATCAGCAAGAAGCCAAGTTGATTTTCCTTTTTAAATCCTTACACCCCAAAGGTTTAAACAATGAACTAGACCTAAATTGTTTTGTGTAATTCCACGTTTGGTTTTGCAGTTGTAAGTGTTGCTGCTATCTGTATTCCTGGTGTTGTGTATATATTAGGTGCTGTACCTTTAAATCTGGATGTTATCTAATTCACCGGCTGGAGGTCTTTATAATGCAACTTTGTACTAACTAACAGTGTCAGCTAATTACAATGCATAGTGAAACCTGAACCATTTGTAATCTATGTACTCTCTCGGACCTCTTATTTGGTAACATATTATTGTTATATTTTATAACTGAATGTAGAATGTTTTGGTATATCATCTCATTGATTGTATCTGAATTTACTTTATTCCGCATCATTCTTATTAGCTGAGGAAGAAAGTTTGAAACAATTGGTTATCCAGGAAGGACTGTCCTGCTACTGCTTCTGGAGCACCAACTTCTTTCAGCGTGTTCACTGCTAAGAGTGACTAGTGGGGTGCCACAGGGTTCTGTCTTGGGCCCGGTCTTATTCAACATCTTTATCAACGACTTGGGTGATGGACTCAAGGGCATCCTGATCAAATTTGCAGATGACACCAAATTGGGAGGGGTGGCTAACACCCCAGAGGACAGGATCACACTTCAAAACGACCTTGACAGATTAGAGAACTGGGCCAAAACAAACAAGATGAATTTTAACAGGGAGAAATGTAAAGTATTGCACTTGGGCAAAAAAATGAGAGGCACAAATACAAGATGGGGACACCTGGCTTGAGAGCAGTACATGTGAAAAGGATCTAGGAGTCTTGGTTGACCACAAACTTCACATGAGCCAACAGTGTGACGCGGCAGCTAAAAAGCCAATGCAATTCTGGGCTGCATCAATAGGAGTATAGCATCTAGATCAAGGGAAGTAATAGTGCCACTGTATTCTGCTCTGGTCAGACCTCACCTGGAGTACTGTGTCCAGTTCTGGGCACCACACTTCAAGAAGGACATTGACAAACTGGAACGTGTCCAGAGGAGGGCAACCAAAATGGTCAAAGGCCTGGAAACGATGCCTTATGAGGAACGGCTAAGAGAGCTGGGCATGTTTAGCCTGGAGAAGAGGAGGTTAAGGGGTGATATGATAGCCATGTTCAAATATATAAAAAGGATGTCACATAGAGGAGGGAGAAAGGTTGTTTTCTGCTGCTCCAGAGAAGCGGACACGGAGCAATGGATCCAAACTACAAGAAAGAAGATTCCACCTAAACATTAGGAAGAACTTCCTGACAGTAAGAGCTGTTCGACAGTGGAATTTGCTGCCAAGGAGTGTGGTGGAGTCTCCTTCTTTGGAGGTCTTTAAGCAGAGGCTTGACAACCATATGTCAGGAGTGCTCTGATGGTGTTTCCTGCTTGGCAGGGGGTTGGACTCGATGGCCCTTGTGGTCTCTTCCAACTCTATGATTCTATGATTTTTTCTATGATTTTTTTTCTATGAAATATATGAATAAGTCATGAATATAACCAGGTTCATCCATGCTGTGGTTGGGTTGTAATTTAGAGATAGTTAAGGTATATGAAGAAGATTTATTGCTCAGATAAATCCTGGCGTCCAGCCCGCTTCGGCTGCGCAGCTACTGGCCAGGCCTCCGGACTTAAAAGGCCACATTCCAAAGGCTCTGAGCAACACACAGAGATCAGCAGTGGTAAGAGAAAGCTGCAAAACTCCAGTGCATTCTTCAGTGTGCTTAAATAAAGTCCACTCAGGATATTAGCAGCTAGAAGCAGTTTTTATTTACAGCAGACTATCCATTATCTATCACAGCGAACAGCATCGTGAAAACACGTCCTCTCTCCTCAAAAGCGAAAGTAGAGAAAGACAAAGGGTTTAGACTCTCGGATATGACGCAGAATTTCCCCCCTCCCAATAGTAGGCAGGGCGTACACTCTGAGCTGTTTAACCCTGTAAGCTCAGGTTCTCCTCACAAGGTATTGTACACACAACAGGTAGAATCTGCCAGGGGTGTGTTCAAATGGCAGGTGGTTGCACTGCATAAGTGCTAAGGAGCATAGCTGTCAAGTGTCCCTTATTTGAAGGGACAGTCCCTTATTCCAGTGCCATGTCCCGCTGCTGTCCCTTATTGAAGGATGTCCCTTAAATGTCCCTTAAATGATGTCCCTTAAATTTCAAAGGAAGCAGCTCCTCTCCCTCCCTCCCTGCCGGCCAGGGAGGAGGAAGGCTCCAACTGTGTTGCTTGGCTGTGTTGCTCACCCAATAAGAAGTCTAAGAACGACTGGGGGGTGGAGCTTGCATGCCTTGTGTGTGGCTAGTTAATGCAAGCTGAGGGGGTTTTTGAATGCTGGACGCCATTTTGTTGCACGTGCTGCTGCAAACTTTGCAGTGCAAAGCCAGGCCAGGGAGCCATCTTAAGTTGAGGCTGCATAGGCCTTGTGGTGCATGTGATTCAGATTCTATTCAGTTGAACCTCTGGTTACAAAGTTGGTTGGACAGTATTCTCGAAGCTACCCAGCATGAGTTTGACCAGACTGCAGGAGGACAGGAAGACTGGAGTGCCTGGAACAGGTGAGGCTGCAGTTCCCTTATTTTGGCTGCTGGTCCCTTATTTTCAAGGCTGCTGGTCCCTTATTTTCAAATCTGTAAGTTGACAGCTATGCTAAGGAGTCAAGTGATGATGCTTTGCTGTCATGCTTAAATGGCTGGACACATGCAACTCTCCCCATCACCTGTGCTAAAGAGAACCCTTTGCAATTAAAAAAACTGTCACCTGCAATCTGATTGAGTAAGTGTTCTGGCCTGGGCAACACACTGTTCCACATACCATCAGCTGCTGTGTAGAAGTACGAAATATTTCAGACCAACAACATAAAGTGGCACAGATGGGGGATAAAAGACACAAATAACCAAACACCAAGCAGACCAATGAAGCCACAGATCGTTGGGCTTTGACTGAAAAAGAAAGATGAAAAGTGTGGCAGTGGTGAGAAAAAGAGTGGCCTCACTGGGGATCAGCAGCACTCCCAAGGTTTCGTTGCTGGTCTCATTGATGTATTTATAGTAATAACAGAATGCTTCTTGCAAAGTTTCGGAGATTCCTGGCTGCCCCAGAGGAATAGGGTGGGGTGTCATGAGAGCTACACCTCTGGAAATTTCCAGCTGTGCACAACGCCATTGTTTACAATGAATACCTAAAGCTGTTCAGGGTTTGAGACAGGTATCTTCAATTTTACCTGGAGCTATCAGGGATTGAAATTGGGGCTTTCTGTATGTACAGCTGATGCTCTACCACTGACCAATCTTATCTAATTTACACTCCTCCCCGCAAAAAAAAAAAAAGACATGCACCAAAATGAAACTTCCCTTGAAAGGAAGGCTCGGTTGTTGTTGTTGCTGTTACTGTTTTTTTTTAATATATATATATATAAAAACACCCCACAAAAGCCAAGAAATTAGTTTTAACAAAGTGAAATAGTGGAGATCCAGGAATTATTTTAATGTGTCCGTGTCACACTGATCACCTGTAATTTGGGCCTTTTTTCATTTTCTCTTTGAAGAAGGCTCCACTTTGTGCAGTCACAGTCTCCCATTACAAAGACCTGATTGAAGCCCAGGAACTCCCTGTTATATGAATCCATTCAAATCACATTTCAATCTGGCTCTAAGTGACTGTCAAATTTGGTCATTATAATTATATGTCATATAGTGGAGACATATGTCTCCCTTTATAGAGGGCAGTGCTGTTTTGATGAACTGTCAGAAGACAATCCTTTCTTTTGAGGGCTGGATCTAGACACGCTAAAAAAGCGTTTCAGTTAAACGCACACTAAACTTCATAAAAGGGAATAACATATAAAGCACCTTTTCTTTACGAATGTAGCTGAGTCCAAGGAGCCCTCCATTTGAAAGCTTTCCTGGTCCAGTTCTGGTTTACAGACACAAATCAGTATGCATAAATATTCTGCACACCTGTGACCAGCCTAATGCCTTAGAATCATAGAATTGTAGAGTTGGAAGGGTCATCTAATCCAACCCGCTGCAATGGAGGAATCTCAGCTAAAGCATCCATGACAGATGGCCATCCAACCTCTGACTGATAACCTCCAAGGTAGGAGAGACCACAATCTCCCAAGGGAGACTGTTGCACTTTAGAACAGGGTGGTGTAGTGGTTAAGAGCTGTGGACTCGTAATCTGGTGAACCAGGTTCAATTCCTTGCTCCTCCACATGCAGCTGCTGGGTGACCTTGGGCCAGTCACACTTCTTTGAAGTCTCTCAGCCCCACTCACCTCACAAAGTGTTTGTTGTGGGGGAGGAAGGGAAAAGAGAATGTTAGCCGCTTTGAGACTCCTTCGGGTAGTGATAAAGTGGGATATCAAATCCAAACAGCTCTTAATGTCAGAAAGTTTTTGTGTTGTTTAGTCGGAATTTCCTTTCTCAACTTGAAGCCATTGGTTTGGGTCCTACCTTCGAGAGCAGGAGAAAACAAATTTGCTCCATCTTTCATGTGACCACCCTAAAACGTTGACTTTCTACAGCTGGATCTTCCAATCAATACCTGTTATACGACAGAGGAACTTGCATTTGGGTGTTTTTTGTGGTACTACATAAATTTAGCAGTAGAGAGAAGTAGGGTTGAACAAAATACTATGCCAATTCTCATATTTCCTGTCAAATACCCTTTCTCACCATGCTACACATTCTGCAAATAGGAAACATAAAGATACAGAATACAGATTCTATATGACAGAAGAGTTTATTTTGATCATGAATTTCACCAATTGTGAAAAAGAAAACCCAGGAGACCTGAGTCCCTCTTCTTACCACTAGGCTCCTAGTATCTTCTGCCACTACCATGAATGGTGGAATTAATAAAGAGGAGAGCTTTCCTCTCTCCTGTTTACCCTTTGAGGTCGATCTGTCTTGAAGATTTCTCAGGATCGTAGCATTTTGCTTTAACATTAATTAATGCAATATAGCCAAAGCTAAAGTGTTTTCCATCAAGGGCACACATGTCTTCAGATGCACAGCCTTGGAATATGAGGTCGAAAATATCATGGTCAACTAGGAAATAAAGCATAAGTTTTGCATTAGTTCTTTAATGGGACTTTGTGGGGTGTAGGAATTACTATTGTTATTAAAGTTCAGTGTGCTTGGAACCAGCATAAAAAGGTAAAGGTAAAGGTACCCCTGCCCGTACGGGCCAGTCGTGTCCGACTCTGGGGTTGTGTGCCCATCTCACCTAAGAGGCCGGGTGCCAGCGCTGTCCGAAGACACTTCCAGGTCACATGGTCAGCGTGACAAGCTGCATCTGGCGAGCCAGCGCAGCACACGGAAACACCGTTTACCTTCCCGCTAGTAAGCGGTCCCTATTTATCTACTTGCACCCGGGGGTGCTTTCAAACTGCTAGGTTGGCAGGCGCTGGGACCGAACGACGGGAGCACACCCCGCCGTGGGGATTCGAACTGCCGACATGATGATCGGCAAGTTCTAGGCGCTGAGGTTTTACCCACAGCGCCACCCGCGTCCCTTTGGAACCAGCATACTGTATGATTAATCCAGCAGACACATATATCGCTAGTGCATGCCTTAGGAATCTTACCCTGTGAGTCAAATTAAGCCAAGCAGGTGGCATAATTTGTCCATTTTAACCAAGCAACACCCACTCGCCTTTCACCAATATTGTATTACATCACATTTGTGATGGGTATGTTCACAGCTGCAGAAGAAAAACTAGGAGTCTAGGAAATCTCTCTGAATTGTTGCTTGAGAAGCATGGCTTACAGCCCCAGCCAGTCATCTTAATCTCCTGTTGAAAGCAATGTTTTCTACCATTGCCAATCAGCCAAGTGACACTGGCAGTAAGCTGTGCTGGCATTGGGATCAAAAACTGCATATTGCAGTTGATCCCTGCCAAACGTGGAGCCTGCAGGCTCCACATTTGGCAGGGAACTTCCTTTTCAGTTTGGCTTGAGTTGAAGCTATGCTGCAAAAGCAGAATGGAGAGAATTGGGTTGCCTACTGATTCTCTCCCTTGAAGCTGGGTTTCCTGAAAACATAGTGATGCCACTTGGCTGGTAGGCATGCCACACCACACACTTCTCAAAGTCATTTAGAAAGCCTCCCAATGACATGTGTTGGGAATTAAATATAAGGGTGAGGAGCCATAAGCAGGACAAATCCCCCACTAATCTTTGCCAGCATGGCATTGTAAACATTAAATTACCATCTTCCATCCCTTGTATTTTGCTAGAGTAAGGCTGCAGTTCTTCTGCACACTTCTAAGGCAGTAAGACTCGATGAACACTGTGCAACTCATTTCTGAGGAACAAGGAACATATTTGTACTGCTAGGACCCTTCTTTCTCCCAGCTTCCTTTGCTTTTAAACCTTTGGCCAAGGTGTGTGGCAAGACACAGACCTCCTGGACCAGCACCCAATGGTTCATACTGCTATGAGGAGGAGCAGTGATGTGCTGGCTGGTCCTGCACCCTCCCTTGAGTCCCTCTGCTCTGATGCCCCTTGTGCATTAGAAGAAAAGGTGTGCTGTAAGGAGCCTTTTGTACTTTTGTAAGATGCCCACAAAATGTAAAATCCTGCCATGAATGAGTCTGTCCCATCTAGTTCTTATAGAATTCTAACAGGTAGATTGGAATCCAAAACAGGACAAGAGCATCCTCTTTCCCTCAGAGAAAGAAATCAAAGCTATAAACATATAAAATGCAAACAAAGTTAAGTCAGTGCTTTTCTGGCAGTAAGAAAGAGACAGAGAGGAGTGGACTTTCTTGGATGATTGGCAATATTACTCACACACAAGCATACTAGAATAGTCAATGCACTTGGTCTCATAGGCAAGGCAGCTGACATTCCCCTGATTTTGACAATTATGTGGTGTTCTAGTTCCGACCATGCTGTAGCAGGCTGGGCAGTGAAGACCATTGGGGAGAAGATCCTCACGAGGTGGAACTACCAAAGCAAAAACCTACAGTTAGCATATTGATAGACCTCATTCCCCACTCTCTTTATTGTTAACATCACTTCACTTTTTTCATGCCTTCTAGTAACTTAATACCATAGCTGGAATTGAACCTCCACATTGTGTCCTACAACTGCCATCAACTTTGCAGATTAGGATTGTCTCTTGATCATCTCTGAATGGCAAACTATCTGCTGTTTCTAGACTTCCATATCCGAAGGCACTGACAGCTGCTTTCCCTTGGAGGCAATATCTCTCCCTCCCTCTCTCTGTAAGTGCAAGTGAGGCATCAGATCAAGGCCTACATTTTAAAATGAGCTTAAAAAAAATATATATTTGTAAATGTTTGTATCTCTCATGCCAGGCAGAAACCAGCTGGCCAAGTGCTTTGGCAGATGTTTATCTTCCTAAACAGGGCCCCTCTGATTTGTAGCATTAGCAGGAGACAGTGCCTCAGGGTTGTAAAAGGAAATTACAGGCTGGGAGCAAAAGGTCACACTGACCATACAAATTACAGAATACAATCAAGCTGCAAAGACACAATTAAGAGTTGGTAAATAGTGAAATTTATTGTTTAACAGAAGACTCGAGCCATATTTTCATAAGGTTAAAGGGCAAGAGCTTTTAGAAACAGCAGCTGGCGGACTTCCGGGTTGGCGCCATCGATAATGGCGGATTCCCTCTGAGTCTCTGAGGGACCAGCTCCGCGGGATCGGGTCTGACCGCTGCGGCAAAGCGGGGACCCTTTAAAAATCACAGGCGGGTGAAGCCTGTGAACGTGGGGACTCGGCGGGCACCTTTTGCACCCCCAAACTGCGAAGGGACCCCTTTAGGGGTTCCGGAGCGAGACGGGGTGAGCGGCGCGGTGCTGAGAGTCGACTGCTTTTTCCGCGGAGTGAAGCCGCACAGCCGTTATCGGAGAGCGCTGACTTCTTCCTGGGACAATTTGACCTCTAAAGTAACTACCCGTGAGTAGGATAAAATTGGATTTAAAGGGAAAAATAATTTAATTCGGCACCGAAGCGGGAAGGCATAAACAGGAAGTCCGCCTTCCTTGCTTGTAAATAGATCAAAGCAAAGAGACTGTAAGCGGAAACTTTGAAAGACGCTTGAAAAAAGACTTAAATCCTAACATCAGAAAAGCGATCTCCCCTCCGGATTGCAGGAGAGGAGGGGGGAAAGGTTTGAACTGTATCTACCTGCAAAAAAAGAGGGAAAGGAAGCTAAAATCCACTGCTTAGAGCCTGGGAACGGACTGCCCTGAGACAAGGAATGCCGCTCTGTGAAAAGCACTATCGGTAAACAGAGTACTTTTGACAGCTAACTCTGCAAGAGAGATACAGTGTTTCTGGACTTCTCCTGGCTTTAAAGTAACTGATTAAGTGCAATTGAAACTGTTGTTTTTTCGTGAATTGGGGGATTTATAAGGACTATTTTTTTTTCTTTCAAGTTGCAAGTTTTGACTGTTACTGTGTCCCCCTAGAGAAGGTTTGACATTCTTACAATAACAACTTGAGGCTTAGGGAACTTTCCATTTCAAAACAAATTCTAACCGTGGGACTGACTTTGGACTTCTTGAGAGTGTTATGGCAGATGGAAGAGGAAAGTTAGAGGAAAAAACTACTAGGTCTGGCAGACCCTATCGGACAGATACTGCGTCGCAGCGAAGAGCTTCAACATCTGGTCCTTCTGGACCATCTGGATTATCAGGGGCTGCACCCCCACAAGTTAAATCAAAAGTAATGTCGTCTGAAGATGTTTTGGCTCTGACACTAGGAAAAATTAATGAATCTTTGGAAAATTTAACTAAACAAGTAGCTGAAACAAATAAACAAGTAGCTGAAGCATCAGTTAAAATTGATGAAAATACTACAAGTATCAATAATTTGGGACAGAAGGTGAATACCAATACAGAGACTATTGAGAAATTGTTACAGGAATCTGCCTTGACCCGAAAGACAGCTGAAGAACCAAAAGACATAGCAACTGCCATTCAAGAGAAGATACCACCGATATATAGGCAACTCGAGGACCACAGTTTGACGTTGTCTATGATTGAATTGAAAGAGAAACAAAGAAATTTGAGAATCAGGGCTGTACCAGAACTTGAGAAAGATAACTTGATTGACTTTCTTACGCAGGAATTCGCAGACTTCTGGCAACAGGATTTGGGGAAGGAAGAATTTAAGATAGTGAGCGCATTTAGACTTGGAAGAGGAGGAAGGAAGAACAAGGTGAGAGACTGTTTGATTACCCTTCGAACAAAAGAGGAGAGAGATAAAATCTTGAATCTGCATTACCAAAAGACTCTGGAAATATATGATTCAAGTGTGGAGATATTTACGGACATTCCAAAACATCTTTTGGACTTAAGGCTTAATTACGGAGATCTGGTTGCCCTGCTGAGAAGTAATAGAATCATCTTTAGGTGGGAATTCCCCCAAGGCCTGTCCTTTAAATATAAAGGAAGAAAGATAAAAATAAGATCAGTCAATGATAAAGATAAATTCTTGAAAGACCACGGAGAAGATCTACAGAAAGAAGTGGAATCTGGAGAAGAGCCAAAAGCACTGGAAAGAGGAATAATAGATATAGCAAACTTATCTTTTGGATTGCATGGTCCAGAGAAAGTGATACCACCGACAGAACAAGAACAAACACTTGGCGCAGTTGGAGGTAAAGCGAAGTAACCCCATCATGGCTCTGCAACTTTTAAGTTGGAATTGTAATGGCCTCAATTCTCCTCGGAAAAGGAAAAGTGTCTTTCATTTACTAAAAAAGGAACAATTGGACTTGATTTGCCTACAGGAAACACATGTGATAAGGCTACACAGAAAAGTTTTGATTAACAAGAGATTGGGACAGGAGTTTATTTCATCTGATAAAGTTAAAAAAGAGGAGTAGTGATTTATGCAAAGGAGAGGCTATCGCCGAAATTTATTTTTAAAGACGATCAAGGAAGATTTGTGGCAATTGAAATTCAAGTTCAAGGAGAGAAATTTTTGATAGTAGGAATTTATGCACCGAACGAGGGGAAATCTGAATTCTTTAAAAAGTTGCATGAGACCTTAATGGACTATTTGGATTACAATCTGATTTTGATGGGGGATATGAATGGAGTAGTATCTACAAATATGGATAAGGCACAAAGACAAGTGGTCACCAAGGATGGTAGACTACCGAAAACATTTTTTGAGATGACAGACAACTTGGACTTAGTTGATACTTGGAGAACAAAGAATCCCTTGGGAAGAGAGGGAACCTTCTTCTCTGAAGCCAAGATGACATGGACTAGAATTGACCAAATATGGGTAACTAGAGGAATGGCACCAAAGATAAAGAAAGCGGAAATTTGTCCAAAAACCTGCTCCGACCATAATGCTGTAAGGATGGAGATGAAACTAATATCAACTGGCTCCTTCCAGATGGAGGATGAATGACACCTTATTCAGAGATGAAGAAGTGTATAAAAAGGCCCAAAAAACCTTGAGAGACTATTTTGAGATAAATATGAATACTAATGTAGAAAAAAGAGTAATCTGGGACGCAAGCAAAGCGGTCATGAGAGGGTTTCTGATACAACAGAATGCTATAAAGAAGAGAAGCCAAAATGAGAAGAAAGATAAAATACTGGAGAAAATAAAAGAAAGCGAGAAGAAATTGAGAGCAAAACCAAAGTCGCAGGAGATTTTGAGAGAAATAAAGTTATATCAAGTACAATATATGGAAATGATGAACCAGGAAATAGAATGGAAAATTAAACAAATGAGACAAAAACATTTGAATCAGCTAATAAATGTGGGAAATTGTTGGCTTGGCAAATGAAAAAAAGGCAAAAATTAAATACTATCACAAATTTAGAAGTGGAAGGAAAGAACATTCACAACCCAACTGAGATTAGAAACTGTTTCCAGAGGTACTTTAAACAATTATACACACAAGGGCCACAGAAAGAAATGGACATAGATCGATTTTTGAAGACAAATGGATTACAAAAATCTCTCAAGAAAGTAAATTAATGTTGAATTATAAAATATCTGAACAGGAAGTAGAAGGTGCCATTCAAAACATGCAATTGGGCAAATCTCCAGGACCGGATGGGCTGACTTCTAGATACTATAGATCCTTGAAAGAGTGGTTAGTACAACCTTTAAAGGAAGTCTGTAATGAAATATTGGAAGGGAAAGGGCACTAGAGTCGTGGAAAGAAGCGTATATTACACTTATACCGAAAACAGAGACTGAAAAGACTCAGCTTAAGAACTACCGCCCCATATCATTACTCAATGTGGATTACAAAATTTTTGCAGACATTTTGGCCAAGAGATTGAAAAAAGTGTTGATGGAAGAGATCCATAAAGACCAAGCGGGCTTTCTCCCAGGAAGACACTTGTCTGACAATTTGAGGAATATAATTGATATTTTGGAAAAACTAGAAGTGAACATAAATACTAAAGCAGTTTTGATATTTGTGGACGTGGAGAAAGCTTTTGACAATATCTCTTGGAGTTTTATGAAGAAGAACCTACAGGGGATGGGGGTAGGCCAAGGTTTTGAAAACGGTATAAGTGCAATTTATTCAGAACAAAAGGCTAAACTAATTGTAAATAATGTGGTGATGGAAGAATTTAAGATAGAAAAAGGGACACGACAAGGCTGCCCAATTTCCCCATTGCTGTTTATATCGGTCCTGGAGGTTTTGCTGAATATGATTAGAAGGGACCAGTTGGTTAAAGGTATACAAGTCGGAGCTAAACAGTACAAATTGAGAGCATTTGCAGATGACTTAGTACTGACGTTACAGGAGCCAGAATCTAGTACCAAAAGGGTTTTAGAACTGATTCAAGAATTTGGTCAGGTTGCTGGATTTAAACTAAATAAGTTAAAAACCAAGGTTTTAGAGAAAAACTTAACACCGATTGAGAAAGAGAGGTTTCAGAATGAAACAGGTTTAACAGTGGTTAAGAAAGTGAAATACCTGGGGATTAATATGACAGCCAAAAATGGGAACCTATTTAAAGACAACTATGAAAAATGCTGGGCTGAAGTGAAAAAAGATTTAGAAATTTGGTCAAATTTGAAGCTTTCACTGCTGGGTCGTATTGCTGCGATAAAAATGAATGTATTGCCTAGAATGTTGTTTTTGTTTCAAACATTGCAAATTGTGGACAAAATGGATTGCTTCAAGAAGTGGCAGAGAGACATCTCTAGATTTGTCTGGCAGGGCAAGAAGCCCAGAATAAAATTTAAGATATTAACTGATGCAAAGGAAAGGGGTGGATTTGCCCTGCCAGACTTTAAACTTTACTATGAATCAGCAGCTTTTTGCTGGTTGAAAGAATGGCTGCTTCTTGAAAACACTGACATTTTGGACCTAGAAGGTTTTAATAATGTATTTGGATGGCATGCATATCTGTGGTAAGATAAGGTCAAAGCACACAAAGCATTTAAAAATCATATTGTCAGGAAAGCATTGTTTAATGTTTGGATAAGATACAAGGATTTATTGGAAAATAAAACCCCAAGGTGGCTATCACCGATGGAAGCGAAAGCTCTGAAAAAGCTCAATATGGGGCCAAATGGCCGAAATATTGGGAAATTTTGGAACAAGATGGAGATAGACTGAAATTGCAGAGTTTTGAGAAATTAAAAAACAAAGTGCGAGACTGGCTTCATTATTATCAGATAATGGAGGCATATAACTTGGACAAGAAAATTGGTTTCCAGGTGGAAAAATCAAAATTAGAAACAGAACTGTTAGAACCCAAAACTAAGATTTTGTCAAAGATGTATAACTTGCTGTTGAAATGGAATACTCAGGATGAAACGGTGAAATCTGCTATGATCAAATGGGCACAAGATGTTGGTCATAACATAATGATGGCTGACCGGGAACAGTTATGGACCACAGGTATGAAGTTCACGGCATGTAATGCCTTAAGAGAGAATATTATGAAAATGATATACAGGTGGTACATGACCCCAGTCAAGCTTGCAAAAATTTATCATTTGCCCGATAACAAATGTTGGAAATGTAAAGAAACTGAAGGTACATTCTTTCACCTTTGGTGGACGTGCCCAAGGATTAAGGCTTTCTGGGAGATGATATATAATGAATTGAAAAAGGTATTTAAATATACCTTCTTGAAGAAACCAGAGGCCTTTCTCCTGGGCATAGTCGGTCAATTGGTGCCAAAGAAGGACAGAACTTTTTTTATGTATGCCACAACAGCAGCAAGAATACTCATTGCAAAGTATTGGAAGACACAAGATCTACCCACTCTGGAAGAATGGCAGATGAAGGTGATGGACTATATGGAATTGGCGGAAATGACTGGCAGAATCGAAGACCAGGGAGAAGAGTCGGTGGAAGAAGATTGGAAGAAATTTAAGGACTATCTACAGAAATATTGTAAAATTAATGAATGTTAGAATGATGTTGGATAGAAATTAAGTGGTTTTCAGCTGTAATACTATAAGGGAATATGAAAAATGGATTATTAATAGGTAAAAATTTAACGTTACAATATTTTAAGATTAAAGATTAGGATAAACAAAGAGGGTAAGGATTTGCTGAACCAACAAACTGAACTGGAATACAAAAAAGGGAGGCGTGAGGAGGTCCGGGAAATAAGCTAATGAAAAATAAGTAATGGAAAGATTGAGTTGTTTTTAGCCATTTTTATTTTTGTACTTTTTTCTTCTTTTGTTTTTGTTTTGTAACATTTTGAAAATCTTAATAAATATCTTTTTTTTTAAAAAATAGAAACAGCAGCTGTCTTGAAAGGGGGGTGTAGATCTAAGAGGTTGCTCTTGGAAACTGTTTTTTACTAAGTTCCTTTCCTTCTAAAAATCTATCTATGTTATGTATGAAATATATTGGCTTAAATGTAATTATGCAAAGGATTTAGAAAGTAAGAAATGTTAGATTCTTATGTTAGATTCTTATTTCATTGATGGTGTGTGAGAAGGTGAACCCAAGATCTCTGTTTAAGATAAAAATTAAAACCATTAGCCATCTGTTCTGGAGTGAATAGGGCAATAGGGCAAAAAGGTTATCTGGTAATTAAGGTGCCTGGTCGAGGCAAATGTAAGATATATGGCTACTTGTCTGCCATTTATGGGTAGAAGGAAATATAGCTCTTTGTCTCCCATAAAAGGTAATAGGAAATGGGTGTATCTTTTATGATTGGTTCTAGCAAACAGCCAATAGGAATTTCAACCAGGCTGATTGGACAGAGGCAGCCAAAGGAGGAGCAAGGGGGCTGGGCTGAGGGAATATAAGTGCTGGCCATCAGGGCTGGAAGGGCAGAGCTTTGGTATCCATATACCACTGTGTCTCTCATTTATTTGTCTGACAAATAAATTATTATTTTAATTTCTCTATTGCTGCGTTGAATATTTTATTCCAGCTAAGCGCTAACCACAAGCAGGGTGCTACACAAGCAAGTACTGGGCAAGCTCAGAACCCAAATTGGGCAGTGCTATACCAAGATTTTCCATATTTCTTTCTACTTCTCTGCCTCCAGTGCCACCTCCTACCTGTATGAAATTTGACTGATGTAAGTAAGGAGCACTAGATTATTCTGCATCCTAAGAGGAGATCATTTACTGTATCCATTCCAGATTCAAAGATCAACTGTAGATACTCTTGGACCCTTGCACACTATGTCTGAATGGACATAAATGCTCTACTATGCCTGTAACTAGGTGGCTCTTATATAATGGTTTTACAAGCCTTTAAATTTCATAGATGTAGATACTCACGGTGGAGAGGCTCCAAATTGCACAGTTCCGTTCTGCAGCAGAAGACCTTTGTCCAGAGAAATTTACCCTCAGCTGCAGTGACGCTATAATCACCTGAGTGACAAAAATTGGGGTCCTCACATTGACGGTAGGTTTCCTTTTGATAGCATTGAACTGAAAGGAGCAAAAGTAAATAAACCCCAAATCTCCAAAAATTCTAGTTAATTCACTCTAAATGTATTTATTTTTACTCTTCAGTGAGAAATTATGTAATTCACAGTTCTTGAACCAAAGGATGAACCCAAACACCATTATCCCTCAAAATCCCTATATAGAAGATCCCACTGCTTACCACCAATTAATTAAGTAGAGGATTCACCCCCCTAATTGCCTCCAATTAAATATAGCAGACACACCTCATAGTACACTAATTAAATGAATGTCTACAATTTACCACAGGCTACCTTGGAAGGGGGTGGTCTTGTGTAAGGGAAAATTTAGTGATTTAGAGCCTTGGGTAGAAGTTGAACAATCCAGAAAAGTTTTATTTACAAAAAGAATTTGTGAAACAAGGTTGGATCAGGAGATGCATTCTTTCAGGTAGAAGGTAACTTATTACTTAAACTAAATATAAGGATGTCACAGGCCTAAAGACAGTATTATAGACACAGCTCTTCTTAAACTTCAGTTGCTAAAAATCAGTTGGTTCACTTAAGGTAGATGTTCAGGTTTCTAGTGTAGGTAGTATAATGTTTAATAGTTTCTCTTGTTCCTTTACTTAGATATAACAGGTGTTACAGTTCCTCTTGCCATAGATAGACTCCTCAGTGTGGATGTTCAACTCAAATCGGAACCAGTTCTCCCTCTATCATATAATATTGTATCCTAATCACTATCTCCCATCTCAAATCTAGCCCTATCTCTCAACCTGAACCTTATCTAACATCTCAAATCAAGCCCTTTCTAACTATCTCTCCCAGAAACAGGGCTGCCATATTGCAAACAGTGAAAATCCAGACAGAAAAGTTGTTGAGCAGTTTTTGGCAAGATCACAAAAAAACGACGGTTCTGAGCTATTTTAAGGGGAAATTGGCAAAATCAGCACTTCCGACATGGGCTGCCATATGTCCAGATTTACCCTGACATTTAGCCAATTTCCACCCAGACGCAGCTGATGAATGTGTTATTCCATATATGTCCAGGAAGTCCTGGACAAATGGCAACCCTACCAGAAACTGCTACTTTTATTCTCCCTCCCAAAGTGCTGCTCCACCTCCCTCTGGCTAACTGTTTTGTTAACCAATCAGAGAGAGGCTCCAGGACTCTGGTGAAATTTCTGAGGGACTGCATCACCAGGCTCTGGTGTCTATCAAACCATAATTTTCTGATTTTTGCTAATCAGTTCTCCAGCAAAACAGTACACAGTGCATTCAAAGATGCAAATATTAAGGAAACGTGTGTAAACAGTGGGTGGTATTCAATGCTACTCCAACTCATTTTGGTTAGTGAGCAAGGCTATTTTAGGGCCATGCATTTCAGTTACAGTGGTACCTCGGGTTACAGACGCTTCAGGTTACAGACTCCACTAACCCCAAAATAATACCTCGGATTAAGAACTTTGCTTCAGGATGAGAACAGAAATTGAGTGGTGGTGGCATGGCAGCAGTGGGAGGCCCCATTAGCTAAAGTTGTACCTCAGGTTAAGAACAGTTTCAGGTTAAGAACGGACATCCAGAACAAATTAAGTTCTTAACCCGAGGTACCACTGTATTTACTCAGAGCAGTACTTAGCTGAATGCAACTCAGCTATATTAGTTAAAAGAACTGACACACATATATTGTATTAAGGGGAAATGGTTTACAATCACATTTTTATTAGTCACAACTGCACGAAAATGTTTTATTAGGAGAAAATTGCTCTCAAATGTTGACACATTTTCATGAGTTATTTATTTACTTACTGTGCAAAGCACTATATAAGTTTGGGGGAAATGAGAAAGTAAAAGAAACAAAAATTGACACATTCACCCATTTCTAGTAGAGACTGGAATAAATTTGTCTGTCTGGAAGATACTAGTTGAAAGATGTAGCAGATGAAAAGGGCATCTGATTTCTCAGATGGGGTGAATTTGCACCATTCTGATGATGGAGGAATCATTTGTCTAGGGTGTTATACAGACAGGTTTCCCTCACTTATTGCACAGTTGTCCCAGCCTGCACTTATTGATCATTGTTGCTGAAGACCCACAAATTGTAGTGGGTCTATAAATTTCTGCCTTTATACCACAATCTTGTATCTCAGGTTATTATTCCAGGGCATGCAGGCAATGAGAGAAATGGAAGCTGAAACCTAGAGATGCTCAATGTTCAAGGGGCCTTTGTGAAGCCAAGAGGCCATATAGCCCTTCCTTGTGTTCTAAAATTACTGGATACTCAGGATAAAAGGAAGATGTATCTGCTTTTGAGACAACAATCCTATTAATCCCTCCAAAATGCACAGTGTATGAAGATGCATGGCTTAGTATCATTGCACTTTGATTTTACTATCCCCCTGCAACAAACTGAAGGGGCCCAGGGTCTCTGAGACTGATGACATCACAACACACATCTTCTTTCACAGGATGTTGATGTCAGAGACTGACTAGACAAGGAGGAATGGTGGGAGGCTACAGCCAGGGACCCCCCCGAAACATCAGAGGGGGAAGCCTCTGAGCCAGGAGAATGATGGTGCTATTCAAAAGACAGATCAGAGGTAGAAGGTGGGGGGCGGGCGGGCAGGCAGACAGGTTGGAGGCAAAGCAAGTAACAGGCTTGAGTCAGAGTGAGGCAACTGAGAAGGAAGAAGCTGACACTTTGACAGACACCCAGCAGGCTGACAGTTCCATGGTTTTCCTCTCCCCTCCTCCCCTGTCTCCAAGAACGAGAAGGGTTTTCCATGTAGCAGAACAAAAGGCACAGAGAGCCCCGCCTCAGAGGAGACTGTTGGGAAGACAGCCAGCTGGGGAGGTGCTTTAGGATGAAGTAGAAGGCTCATATCCTCAGCTCTGGCAAATGCTTCATTGGGCTAGACCTGCCTGTGGAATGCTTTGTTTATGTTTTGTGTCTTTGAATAAAGAATCAGTTTTGCTACTCAACTCCATGCCTGGTGTCTCTATGCCTGCTGTCAGGGACTGGCTAGATGACAAGGAGTGGTGAAAACTGTCTGATGAAGAGCTCCCCGGGGAATGTACAGAGGAAGAGGATTTGGAGCCCGGATTTGGTGCTGCATAACTGGACACACCCCAGAGGAGGTAAAGATTGGGAGCTTGAAGGACAAGGAAAATGGAGGGGGGAAGCAGGTGCCCCCACAAGAAGCAAAGAGAGGAGTCAGACTTAGCAGCTTTACCACAGAGCCCCCCTAATAGTATTTCTGTTGACGGCCTGCAAACTCCCAGAACATGGGATTTGATACACATAACAGTGCAGAGAACCAGGCAAAGATAGAGAGGGTCTCTTGGGACTCACTGTAGATGGAGGGAGGGTCCTGACACAGAGGGAATGGAGAGAAGTGGGAGGTGCAAGACAGTCTCAGCAACTGCTTGGTATAGTGTCTATTTTGGTGTCTCTGTGTGTTTTCTGTTAAGATTCTTTAATAAAAGACTAACTGCAAGGTATCTGGTGCTGCCTTGTCTCTCTCTGAGCTGCGGATGAACTGTGCTATGTGTCAGCTCCTTGATACTTGGAATAATGCAGGAAGGAGAAGTAGGGTTCTAGGACAACCATCTGTTTTCTTTGTACAATCTAATCTGGACCATCTGGTGCAGCAGCAAGAAGAGAAAAAAGCTACAGCTGCCACAAATGATGCCGGCATTGAATTTGTAATAATTTAATTAACTTACTGCCTCACCTTATGATGGAAGTCTAACCAAAATCAAACCAGAGTTCATGGCTTCTGGTATAGTGCAGATTGCTGGTTAATGCATGGATGGCTAAACTGTGGCCCTCTGGAATTTACTGAACTATAGCTTCCACCATCTCCATCCATTGGCCATGCTGGCTGAGGTGGATGTGGGTGGTGGTCCAGCAACTTCTAGAGGACTTAACCAGCCCTGGTCTGATGCATGCCAGGATCTCTATGCTGAAACCGAAATGTGATGGAAAGAGACAACCAATGTTGGAGTAAATTCATGAGACAGAGGATGGCTGCTATGTGTCAGGCTAGGACATGAGGTGCCAGGGTTCAAATCTCCACTCAGTCATTAAGCTCACTGGGTGACGTTCAACACTCACTGCCTCTCAGCCTAACCTACCTCACAAGGTTAAATGCATGGGGGAAGTGTTAAGTATAGTGGTTTAATTCACACAGAAATGAAAAAATCTGTATGTATGAAAATGGAAAATGACTAAACATGTATTGGTAACACTGAGCATTTCTAAAGGACTCTGAGCTCCTTGCAGAGTTAATGATTAACTAACTGATTATTGTTCTCAGTTAGCTAACATGTCAGCGTTGTAAACCTGAGGTCATGAGAGAGGTACTGGGTTGAAATCCCCATTTCAAAAAGAGTTGCCTTTGAGTCTTTGCCTCTGTGGTGTGAAGATGCAAATAGAGTCATCTCTCTAAAAGCTACAGACAAAACATGTAAATGACTCTCCTGAAGGGAGAACAAACAGCCTTTAGACAGAAAAGCAGGCTGGAGAGAGAGAAAGTGACCTTTGCTTATAGGTCAGTTTGGATTATTTCATATTTTATAAGAAGCTGAGCCTGTGCTGGACAGCACAATATATTATATGGATATTTTTGATGTTTTAATTCTGTTTTGAAGAAAGTTCTGCCAGTAAGAGTTTAAACAATATTTCATAAACAACATTTCATTTTCAAAGGAGTCAGTTCTTATGATTCCAGTCACTTCAAACTGTGCAATATTTGATATCTGTAACAGGAAGAACCATGTACACCACCTTGTGCTTTTTGGAGAAAAGGTGGGATATAAATGCAATAAATAAATAATAAATAATACTAATTTACACATGAAAGTCATTCCTTGGGGTGACCAAGAGTAAGTGAGAAGATTTCACTCACGTATATTGCTCTGCAGAACACCAGAGGAGCAGATTCCATAAGACCTACAGACACGATGTGGATTTTTAACGACGTCACAAGCGTCATAGTCACGTGGCAAACGACAATTGGAACATGTCAGAGATGTCACTGCATAAAGGAGACAGAGGTTGCTGCAGGAGATTTCTTGACATGGTAATGAAGTTAGTGGTACATTGGGTTGGGATGAGACAGTCTGGCTATATAAAACACATAAACCCTGTATGCAAATATAAAATATATTTCAGATTTATTCTTTGAAATAGTGAAGTCAAATGCATGTTAATCATCCAACTCCTGTTTTCCTAACTAGTCAAAGTACTATAATGTGGGAGAAGATGTCCTTCTTTCTAAGGAGGTGGCATGCAAGAGGGTAGATGTGTGTTAAACTGGAAGGCTATAACTTTTTTTATTAATGATTGGGTGTCATATTTATCCAAGGCAATTTCCCCTTCTCCAGTAATTAGGAAAAGAGAGATCTCTCTCTTGATGAGTGCCCATGATTTTATGTTTTGAACATAAATTTAATAATAAATACATACTTAGATAAAATTAATAAATTAAATAATATATTAAATAATAAACAAAAAGTGAATAAATTTAGAGCACCTCTTTTTTTTCTTAATGAGTCCTGAAAAAACTCTTGGAGGTGTACAGTACATATTGTAAATAAGAAAGCCTAGACCAAGAACACAATACACAGAACACTCTCCTGAAAGTGTCAATGAAAGTTAAACACAGAAAATCATAGGGGTACTCAAATTCTCTATGGCATTGAAATCTGAGTATCTGAGTCAAACTCCATTAAAGTTTTTGAAACTGTGTAGAATAAAAAAAAGAAGCTATACTCTCTACCATCAAGAATATCAGCAGTTTTTATCCAGGTGGAGCGGAATGTGCTCAATTAAATATATATTTTTAAAATTGCTACTATTCCAATGTAGCATTTCCATGCCTTGTGCTATATGGAATTGAATATCAGTATGTTTTAAACTACCTCTAGTTTCTCTGAACTGAGCTCTGCATTGCCCTTGAATAAGTGTCCAGAAAAGGGGATGCAAATATTTAGAAACACCAAAGTTTTCCCTTGGTATCCACTCCTAAGAATAGAGTATTCTAGTGCAAGTTATCTGATCAAATGCTTGCCACTTTCCTTAACAAATGCCACTATTGAACTGCCAATTTCCAAGGGATGCCCAACACAGCCTTCAGTGACTGCTATAACAGACAGATCTTGTATTTGTGATCAGCCTCAGGTAGAAGACATCACTCATCTCTTAGCCTGCTCCTTATATAGAGACCCAAGAGACTGCTTTCTGAAACCTTTATTGGCACAAGCATGCAGGTATATCAAAGCAGAAATGGTTTGGTCTATTTTGTGAAACAATAATAGCATTGTAACACAGAGAGTGGCACTCTATGCATTGAAGGGGTTCCTTCCAACTTTAAAATTCTATAATCCCCCCCCCCATTATTCTCATCTCCTGTCCCCATTCTCATTCCCTCACAAGGAGCAAGGCTTTTCAGTGTCATCTAAAAAGGATAAAAAGAATCCCATTTTACTGGTTCCTACTTACCTGGAGAAAGCAGAGCGAAGAGGAGGCAGGTGCTCAGATGTTCTTTCATCATTTTAGAAAAATAAGGAGACTCAAGAACATGGATGGACCAGTCAAGAGGACTGATGGAGACAGAGGCTTACTTAGAGATATTTATAGGCCAAGGATTCATATTACAGTCAAAGTGTGGGGGAAAATGGTTCAGTGAAGTCTGGCAATGGGACCTGTGTATTTGTCAAGAGAACAAAGAGAGACATGTTGAAATTCAAAACTCAGTGTTGAAATTAATTGAATGATTCATCTTTGAATGATTCATCTTTGATTTAATTAGCTGAATTATTCATCTTTGATTTCATTAGTTGTTTCAAGGCAGTTGACAGAATTATTTTTCTATAAAATTACATTACAGTTAAAATGGTAACGACACCAAAAAAAGAAAGAAAGAAAGAAAAAAGAATCTGGGAACAAAAATGACAAGTGCATAGCCTATATGGCAATCTCTCTCCTAGTCAAGTGCACCGGGCAATGTGCAAAGAGCAACTAAGGAAGACATTTTTGGTTCCGCTGCAGATTAACCCAAGAGTCATTAGTGCAGCCAAGCTGTGGGATGAGCCAATGGCAGTGAAGCAGTCAGCTGGGGTTTAGGGATGTAAGGTTGAGGTAAAAAGTAAGCCTGTGTAAGTGGAAGTAAAAGACCATGATATTCCATGTGTGATATGTTGTGATATCATTTATTACTGCCTACCAAGGAATTATTATTATTTTTTGGGAAAGTTGTATAATCTTCCATCATGTACCGTTATTTTAAAGCCAATTTTAAAATCCATTAATAGTGTAGCCTCTGCTTTGAGAAACGGAGTCAGGGGGGTTGCGGCAGACACAATGCTTCTGCACCCTGTGCCTTTGCCTACCCTCGCATTCCATGAGGAAGTGAGTGCCAGACCTCAGGGCAAACCAAGGATGAAAGACCATTCCTCTCAAGCCCAGAGAGGAATTCAGAGAATGGTTTAACCCCCAACATTCTCATTATCTTTATCTGCTTCTCCCTGCAAAGTTGAGGGAGGCATCAATTCCTGCTGCAGAGCAGAAATGGAAGCCATCCTTGGACATATCTAGGTAGGCTGCTGTGGATGCAGACCCAATCCAAAAAGAATTGATCCCAATGTACCTTAGACAGACTCTCTCTATGATAAACTAGCATCACAAAAATGTTTCATAAATTCTTGGCCTTGCAGCACCACCCAGCATGAAAAATTTAAACCACTAACTCCTGCAACTCTCATGAAGTAACCTTGAACACTGCTTGGCTGAATCCAACTCTATACTTAGCAAAGTTCATGCTGCACTAGGCCCCTCTGTCTTTTCCTTTCCCAGAGGAACCATCATTTCCTCTACCATATCACTAAATTCCTGTGTCAGGTGAGAACATGAGAACATCAGCCTGCCTCAGCAGGGCTTATAAAGAGGATGTCATCCAGATAGTAGACCACATCTGCCAAACCTGTCCACTTCTTGACAGTTCAATTAAAAAGCAACAGCTGAAGCATTCAAAAATACGTTTGGAACACAATTCAAAGTGTTCATGCTGACCTTTAAAGCCCCCATCATTCAGCCTGGACACTGAGGTCCAGTACCGAGGGCCTTTCGGCGGTTCCCTCATTGCAAGTGAGGTTACAGGGAACCAGGCAGAAGGCCTTCTCGGCAGTGGACCACACCCTGTGGAACGCCCTCCCGATGGATGTCAAGGAAATAAACAACTATCTTACTTTTAAAGGACACCTGAAGGCAGCCCTGTTTAGGGAAGTTTTTAATGTTTAATGCTGTATTATGTTTTTAATATTTGGTTGGAAGCCGCCCAGAGTGGTTGGGGAAACCCAGCCAGATGGGCTGAATATAAATAAATAAATTATTATTATTATTATTATTATTATTAAAGCTGCACATGAAATAGAGCAACCCATAGGCAACATCTTCAGTGTCAACACCATCCATATCCCCCACATCTCTCTATTTATGCCCCCCCCAAAAAGGTCTGTTTTCTTTGTTGACATCTGAGCTTATTGGGAATCTCTTCAAAGAAAGCATCCAAGGAGCATTTCTTATCATGATATGAAGTATAGGTAGAAAAACACCACATCTTTCACAAAAGGCTGCAGTCCAGAGCACACAGCATTATGCACTAGATAGCCATCTGGCATCAGCAATGGAGCAAGCCAATTGGGTGCCTGGGGTGGCACGCATGCCCAGCGCCTAAGGGTAGCGCCAACTGCCCATGGGGGCAGGGACAGTCCGGGCAGGATTGCTCCATGGTGCCTCCGAGGAGTCTGCCTGCCCTCTCCCACTCAGCTGCCCTACAGCTGGGGGAGGCAGCGGGCAGACCATTTGGGGCAGTGTGGAATCTGTGGGCGCCCAAGCCAGTGTGTCACTCCCAGGAGAGAGGTGTAGCTCCGGCATGCTGCAGGCCCCACGATTAGTGCCGCCCAACATTTTGTCACCCCCCCTCAGTGGTGACACCTAGGGTGGACCACCCCCAATGCACCCCCTTCCTCCGCCCCTGTCTGGCATGAAATCTCACAAATCAAGGGCTCAGGCACACTTACCTTTTGCCTTGTGCTTTCCATGTACAGTTTAGTTCTTAAAGCTCTGCCTTGTGTTGGGAAATTCAGGGAATATTGCTTAACAGAAAGTAAAGTAGTTGGGTGTAATTCTAGAGTGAATATTTGAATAATTTCTTTTGTATAACTTTTGTATAATTGAAAGTCCTTTAAAAAAAATTATCCTTTCTGTTTTTCCTGCTTTCTTTTCTTTTGTTTCTTGTTTTCTCTTTATCTTTCAGGTAGTGTCATAGAAGGACGCTGATGTGCAGCACACTTCAGCAAACATCAGAGAGAGACAGGATCACACAGTGATGATTAAAAGAATACAATTCTGCTGGTTCCTACTTACCTGGAGAAAGCAGGGCCAAGAGGAGGCAGGTGTTCAGAAGTGCTTTCTGCATTCTTGAAAGATTTAGCAACTCAGAGCAGAGATGTACCAAGGCAGAGAACTGATGCTGGTAGAGTCTTACATGGAGATATTTAAAGGCTATAGATTCATGATGTGGGCATCTCTTGGGAATAAATGGTTCAGTGAGGTCTGGGGCTGGGTACTGTGTGTTTGCCAAGAAGACACAGAGGGACATAGCGAAATTCACAGCTCTGTGCCAAAATTGGCTGATTTATTCATCTTTGAGTTCCATTAGCTGTTGCCAGACACTTCTCAGAATTTATTTCTATATAATTATTCTACAATTTACTCGTAACTCGTGTTAGCTTTATATTACATGGATGCCCTGAAATGGATATACAGCCAATGCCTCAGCCCAAATTCCACCTACACCATTTTTAATCCAGATCATTGTCTGTGTAAGTTCATTCTATTTCACCCCACAGTACTCACTGCACAGGGGAGGGTGGAACTGCAGACCTCAGGTGTATCGCCTTCACATGGGATTGCATTACAATGACAGTAGGAGCATTTCAGAGTTGTCACTGCATTAAAGTGATAGAAGTCAATGCAGGAGTTTTTGTGAGATGTTTATGAACTTAAAGGTATATTGGATGGAGATGGAACAGTAAGTCTATATAAAACATGAAAGCCCCACTTGCAAGTATGTCAAATATATTTCAGATTTATCCTACAAATTTTAAATTTAAATTTGAAAAATTCAGAATATACAAGAGTTAAAATACTAAAACAGATTAAAATTGCAAAAACTTTCTAAGCATTTCAGTAGGCTTGTCTAAACAAGAATGTTTTTAGCAGGTGCTGAGCAGAATACAGTGAGTGTCCCTGACTGTTCTCAGTGATTTGACCAGGGGAAAGCAATCTTTTTAAAAATAATGACCTCCATCTGTTCCACTGATTTCAAGCTTTGCCTAAACTGATAAACTCTCAGACTAATATGAGTATATATGACACAGAGTCCTAAAACGTTTAAAATTGTAAGTACTATTATCTAGGACTGGATAACCCTTCAACGCCTTTTGTAAAACTAACAAATTGATGGGGGTGGATTGTTCCCATAAAACCTTATATATACAATATTATACATTTCTGAATGTATTTCCATACACCCCAAAAGTTCTCTTCTTGGACAGCCCCACCACAAGTGCTAGCATGGCTCCCTCTAATTAAAAGCTCTGCAACACATTGGTTCTATTCAGAAGAAAGAAGGACAATTGCTCTGCAACTGTTTGCTATCTCTGTATTACCTCAATGTCCAAGGGACTATGGGAAGTTATTGTGGACTTGATGGACAAAGCAATATACTGAAAAAACCAGTACTGCAGCCTTTCCTATAACTCAGAATGGGTTCTAACTTGCTTCACATGAGTATTTTTTTAAAAATTCCCCCATGCCTCAAATCAAAGGACAGCTAAAGACTCAAGATATGGCACAGGGAACTGCTGAAGTAGCCAAGCTAGACAGCGCTCAAGGGAATTGGACAGTGTTAGGGACATTGTGACGTGCACTGAATATTGGAGTGAGTGCCCCTGACTTTTCTCAGTGCTAGAAAAAGTACTAGCAAAAAATCCTGCAGAGTAACTGAATTATTTTCCTGAAAGACTATTACCCAAAATTCAGCCACTCAGTGGTACTCTGACTATCAAAGATGATATGCAGCACACTGTTCCATGTCCCATTAGCTGCTGTGCAGAAGTACAAAACATCTTAAGCAAACAAAACAATTCAAAGAAAACAACAACAGGCAAACACCCAAACTCCAAACAACCCAATGAGGACTGGGCATGTCAGAAGCCCCAGAATGTTGCATGCCAGTTGAAATAGAAAGATGAAAAGTGGGGCAGTAGTGGGAAAAGATTTTGCCTAATGGTGGGATTAAGACTTTGACCAATTCTCTTGTTCATTAAAATACTTCCAATGTTCTCTGTTCACAAAACAATTCAAGATGAATCAGAATTGCTATGCCTAGCTAATTCTCCTTTCATGCATACAGTGGCCACCATGGATTTTAACACTTTATTCTTTTTAGGTCAATTCTGTATCCAGGGCAGCTGTCTACCAACTCCACCTGGTACGCAGGCTGAGACCCTACCTGCCCGCGGACTGTCTCGCCAGAGTGGTGCATGCTCTAGTTATCTCCCGCTTGGACTACTGCAATGCGCTCTACGTGGGGCTACCTTTGAAGATGACTCGGAAACTACAGCTAATCCAGAATGCGGCAGCTAGACTGGTGACTGGGGGCGGCCGCCGAGACCACATAACACCGGTCTTGAAAGACCTACATTGGCTCCCAGTACATTTCCGAGCACAATTCCAAGTGCTGGTGTTGACCTTTAAAGCCCTAAACTGCCTCGGCCCAGTATA